TTACCACAAATATATCCCAAAAGCCTAACTCGTAATCGTAGACCACCGCCGATCGGATCAAGATGATCTCGACGCAACTGTTCTTGATCAGTATTTGTTTATCATGTTCGTCGAGGGTCTGAAACGCGGCCAACCTCTTGGACAGTCTGATAATGTCCCTGATCATCGAGTCAAACTTGATGACCATCCACTCGCATAACTCCCAATAACTGGTCACCTCTTTGGCGTGTTGTGGCTCCGGGTCTTTCAACAGCATCAACGCGTTCAACAACTCGTACAGACACTGGCCCTCAGTCTCGTTAAAGTCCCGGTTGTGGTCAGTGATTGGCCGCCCGATGGGAACCACTGAGTGATCGCCNGGTCACCTCTTTGGCGTGTTGTGGCTCCGGGTCTTTCAACAGCATCAACGCGTTCAACAACTCGTACAGACACTGGCCCTCAGTCTCGTTAAAGTCCCGGTTGTGGTCAGTGATTGGCCGCCCGATGGGAACCACTGAGTGATCGCCCGGACTATTGAACCCGAGGCTCGTGTTTGGGAATAGGCTTTTGTCGCCAAAAATGTGGTCAATATTTAGTGATTTAGTCGACTCTTGATTTGTGGTGATGTTTATTAAGACACGGCTCGCGTTGTATGTGTTTTGTCTGCTATATTGGGTGAGCGTTGAGTTGTTTTCTTGGTTACCATCCGATGATGAATCCGATGATAAGTATTGATGATTATCATTACTATTACCATCATTATTATCAGTGCTGTTTTCATAGCCAACACTTTCTATAAGGCTATTTTCAATTTGATTTATCTCGTTGTTTATGGCCTGACCTCCGGCGGCCGCAGCGATGGTCGGCTCAAACATCTCAAAGTCATCGCAAATGCTATTGAAATCCAACGACAAGTCACCGGCGGATGTGTTGACAGTATTGCGATTTACTTCGTTAAGTCTGTTATTATTGTATGTGTTTTGCGAGACAATTGTCTCTATATTTTCATAGAAATTATTGCTATTATTATTATATCTTTGATTATCTGTCGATGAATTGGTGGTCATTTCGGTCTTTCGCCGCTTCTGGCGATTTTCCTCCACTTTCTGTCGCATCACTTCCCGCTCTTCGTCCGAAAGGATCCATTCCTGAAGACATTGTCATCGATTGAAATATCAATTCATTTTTAAATGTAATAAAATTTAAATACTTTTTTCATTCCGATCTCAAAACACTTATTTAGCCGACATTTGGGACAATCCGAAAGGATCCATTCCTGAAGACATTGTCATCGATTGAAATATCAATTCATTTTTAAATGTAATAAAATTTAAATACTTTTTTCATTCCGATCTCAAAACACTTATTTAGCCGACATTTGGGACAGAATTTTCTCGTAACAACACTTACTTGACATTTGTCCCCAAAATAGCATTCAATCTATAAATATATGCAAAAGTTATTTATAATTAAATTTAATTATTAATCATTTTTAATGGCAAATATACGGCTGTTTGATAGGCATTGCGCCGAAAAAAAGCTTTACACGGCCCACACGTCAGGGCACCAAAGTTTTTGCCTACAAAAAATTGTAATGCAAAACGGGGTTAGACTGTAGTTCATAGCAAATACAATAGTGTGTGAAATGTATGGTTACCGATGGCCTGTCCTCCGCAAACACCGCATACTTTAGACTCGCTTTCGTCAGACATGTCTATCAGTAGTTAATAGTTTGTACCAATAAATCAATGTTTAATGTGTGCTTGATCAATTTATCCAGACTCACTGTATGATAGTAGGGCTAAAGTGAACATGGGAGTGTTTTGTAAATTATTTTGTAATACTTAATTACAGTATTGTTATTCATTGGGACTCCAAGAGTGGTGATAATGACATAGAAATAAATTTTTGTGATAATACATGAGAGACACCAGTATTTCAATCCAATCGGGATTTTGTGTGAAATCTACTATTTTTCATATCAAATACACAGAAGTTTTGTTTCGAAATAACAATAATATTATATAAAATGTTTGATTAGACGTTGAGTTGAGAATTGTAGCTTGTTGTTTTAATTGTTTAACAATTTATATATTGATGATTGACTATAGTGTTAACAATATTATTAGAATGTAATAATTAAATCAATACTTACAAGTATTGTTTATCAATTATAATAGTTGCAAATTATGAATCACCATATACAGCTTATTTACTAATTTACTAGTTTAAACATAACACTTTAGTACAGAATATCAACGAATATCACCACGTTATACTAGATATGCATTTCCATTCAAGGCAATTTTATTAAATAGTATTACTTATTAATATTTGATTTTTTCTCAAAACTATTGATATAATATGTTTTAATGTATTTCATAATTTCATTTATTATATAACAGATAAGCCTTTTCCTACAATTTATCGCACTTTTTGTGTGATAAGCAAAATGTATAAAATATTTTGGGTTTCAATTAAAACATTAATATAAATGTCGGCAAAATAACTGCATCTGGCTCTGATTATACATAATCCTCATTTGAACAAGATATAAATTTACTTATTGGCCAATTTAGTGCATAAAAGTGTTACCATGTTATTTTTATTTACAATTTACAGTAGAGTTAAAATATGATAAAACCACTGAATGTCTTATTATTGAGTTTTTTTATTATTAATTGGAAAAGGCTTTGATTGATATGTTGATGTTTATTAACCATGTTTTGTTTTTATTAATTATTAAGATATGTATTTTGCAAATCACTTATCATGTAACAATTATTAATTAATCAATCAATTGATAGAATACGCAAAACACATAATTAACAATTAATAATTATTTCTAAACGATATACAGTATTATTTCAACGAATAGTCAATATTTAAGATAATGAATAAAAATAAATCTGTATTTTATATTATTAATATTACAAATGTAATGATTGTAATTCAAATGTAAGCACTTAATGAAATTACTTATTATTATACCTAAAAAGTTTAAGTATAGAGTTAAAAATTTAAGATATTTAATTCAAAATTAAAATTTTAAAACAATACTAGGTATTAAATTACATGAAATTCAATTGTTATTGAATAATTCAATACATAACATTTATTTTGTAATTCCTAGTAATATCCTGGTTAATGTGAAAACCAAAACATTGTATTAGTGATGGATTATATAAAATTATCATTAATTACAATACTTTCAATTAAGTAATCAGAAATACCCTGATTATAGACGCACTTCTATCTATGTTAACAATATTCATAGACAGTCGACAACTATTGTTGATAAGGGAATGATTATGAGATGTAATAGTTATTTTTGATGTGGAATTTTGTTTACCACTTTCGGTTATTTGTTGAACGTATATATGATCAATCATTTTGAGTATTTTATTGCATTATAAGAATGAACTAAAATTGCTCTTGGTATGATAATTTTACTAACTACCTCTCTCTCTCTTGTTCAAATGAGGATTATGTATAATCAGAGCCAGATGCAGTTATTTTGCCGACATTTATCTCTCTCTCTCTCTCTCTCTCTCTCTCTCTCATTTGCACAATTATTTCATTCAAAGTTTATATTAATACAATGAAGTAATACAAGGTAATTAATAATGGTAATTACTTTAATAAATTATATAAAATAATATTAACATTTAAAATTTACAAAACAACATTATTAAAAAATAAATATAAACAATGTAATTTTGTTTATTAAACATTTAATTTTAAATACTGTTTCTTATTATTTAATTGTATAATCCTATCAATAATAGTAATTTATAAAATAAATAAAACACCTTAATGCTATTTCATTCAAACAATATAATATAAGAAAATTCGATATTACAAATGATTGTAAATATAAGTATATTTTGCCCTAAATTAAGTAAATTAATATAATGTTCTAACAACATTTAATTATTGTATGTAATTTACATATTGTTTACCGTATTACCAAGATCCAAAATCTCTGATATGACAGGTCCTACATCACTTGGACTTGCATTAGACCAGTTAATTTTAGTAACTTCACCAAGGGCATTAATTTCCTTAATTGAGTTCATTATACGAAGAAATTTGAGCTTGGCCATAGACGAGTCAGATCGATATTTCAATAGTATATATCGTAGGAGTAAATACATATACAGATTCTGTTCAAGCCTTATGAAACAAAAAAATAAATTAAATAATTTTATCGAGATAGTTTTGTTTGTATTATCTAACTTGATAACATCTCGGTACTTTAGATTCGGTCTATTTGGGTCAAACAGTACAATGGCTGTTAACTAGAAATATTAGAATAAAATAAATAATTTATTAATTATCTACCGTAGCTATAAATAATTAATATAAGGTAAATTTATTTACCAAGTCCATAATTAGCTCATCTGAATCCCATTCCGGGCACATAATTTCAAAGTATCTGATATAACAGTCACCCATTAATGGTTCGCATTTAGCCGTAAAATCTAATTTTAGCAAAAGCGAACTGTTGCAACCCTAGTAAAGTTTAATTATAATTAACCAAGCTGAATTTAAAATTAACTCGTATTCATTTACCGTGTTTATCGTCCAATACCTGTCTTTCTGGTTATAGTACTCAAGTGAACGCATCAACAGATTTTCAATACAGCCATACTTTATGAGGGCTATCATATCATTGCCGCACAGATTATTAAATGGATTCAACTGTTTTGTCATTTTTATAAAATTTTGGATCAGTCTATCAAATCTGGTAGCCATGGTCATTTTGTATTGCACAAGATCAGCCAACTCGCCGGTAATGGTATTACCGGTGGGCTCTCTAATCCATTTTACGGCTGTCAACAGTTCCCGGATTTTATTGATTTCAAACTCGTTGAAACATACGCTAAAATTGTTAATATGTCTGACAATAGAAACGGTGGCTAATTTGAATTTTTGCTGATTGTTCAAAAACAGCTCTTTGTCTGCCAACTGATCCGCAAGTCTCGGATCAATTGAGTCATTGATTATGTGTTTATCGATGGCTTCGTGTGATATCATTGTGTTATCATTAGGTGTGTCCTCAGAGTCTGGAGTCCAGACATCACTCATTTCATACTCGGATTGATTACTAATGTCAATAACGCGAATATTGTCTGGACTTTGATTAGGGATTATCTCATAGGAATCAGAGGTCGTATAATCAGTTTTAAATACATTATTATTATTATTATTATAAATATTTTCAATTAAACGTCGTTTGCGTCGATTTTCCTCCACTTTCTTACGTTTCATGATTTTCTCATACTCTGTGAGAATCCAATCCTTGGATAACAACATTGAAAACGTGATTATTTTTCTGTAAATATGACATTCATGTTATGGAAATACGTTAATTAATTACCTTTTTCATACCAATTGCGAAACATTTACTTAAGCGACACTTTTGGCAAAACTTTCTTGTAATGGGAGTAATATCGCATTTGCCGTCGAAAAAACATGATAACTATATTAAAATCAATTAAATAGTAACCATCATTATAATATTGTTTAGCGCCATAATTAAATTACACTTGATCAAATTAAATAATAAATTAATCATGGTTATAAACCTTGTTTCTGAGCGCATTTCGACGAAAGAATGCTTTACACGGACCACAAGTATATGCGCCAAAATTTTTGCCTAGATATTAATTAAATAAAAAATTTAGACATCTTAATTTAATTTTTATTTGTAAATTTATATTTATATTTATATTTGCAATTTAATGATATTTAATCTAAATATACAATTTATTAATTTACATACTTATCGCTAGATCACCGCAAACGCCACAAACAAATGCCGTGTCGTTCATCTTGTTAAATTAAATTAAACATGTTCAATCACAACACAGTTATTAATCTTGATATTTTTCTTAACTATAACAAAAACAATATACATGAACGTTTAATCACATATGATTTGCAGCATGTTTGAACATAAAGTTTGATATGTGCTCTAATATACTGTACATTGTAGAAGTGCACACTGAACTAAACAAGATGATAATTATAACTTTGTATTTTAGCAAAATGCTATAATTTTTACATTAAAATTGCAATTATCATGATTTTAAGAGATATATCAAATACTTATGGCAATGTTAATTATACTAAAACTTTGTTGAATAGTACTGTTTGCGTCACATAATAAAGAGGCAAAAGCATGTCGATAAAGATCACAAAACCCTAGATGCGTTTGCGTAAATGGCCTTACAGTTTGTGTATGACATTGAATAGCATTGAATATCTGTTTGCATCTATTATGCAATCGATATCTGAATTCACTTTATTTTATACTTAATCTCAATTCAAAAAATTAATCTTTTATTCATTAAATTTTTAATATTTGAATGTTTTTAAATATATTTTTAGATATATTTATATAAGAATTCACTTATATTTTATCAATTTAATTGATTTGTAACTTATACGTGGAATACTTGTAGGTAATTGACAAGAATTTGCATCTAAGTAAATATTAATAATAATAATGCTATTTAATTTTAAATTTGTACAATTATATTCACTATACTATTTTTGGTACAAAATATTATTAATGTAAAAATATCATTAATAATTAATTAATATTGCTCATTGATATAACTAATATTGTGTACATAATTCTTACATTGTATCTAGATTCCAATAGTTATACTAAAATTTATTAATTATAAATTTATAATATTATTTTATTATTGTATTGGGTTTTTATATGTGGAATCAATTATATTCACTTACCATATCATATTGATACAATAGAATATTCTATAATATATATTTGAATAGATATATAAATAACCTTGTAAACATAAAATAACACACTTTAATTCAATCAATTAACAATATCGAATCCTCGGGCCAAAGTATACGTGGGAGGTGCCACGATTTTCTCGGTGCCAATCGATAGATCTCATGATACCTAACAATAGTTATAATTACGTCGACCCGATCCGAGTGGGACATGACCTCCAAATCGGGCCCCGAAGTGACCAATATTTCGGGTGTTGTAAAAGTGTATTATTTTACTTTAAAGCATGTCATATGATATATCAATGGAAAGGTCTCGTCGAGGTGATCAATATTAGTCTTATTTAAACAACGGTAAACTTGATTAAATTGTTAGTAATGGAATAATTTGACAATAAAACATATATTTAAATGTTAATTACATTGTTATTGTTTATTTAACCGGTTGGGGTCAATAACATGAACGTACATAGAATAAGAAGTCCCGGGTATAGTCCATATTGCTGAGCCACCTCGGGTTCGGCCGCAGTGACCACTTTTATCGGAAAAATTCAACTTATCCAATACTAATATGTGATATATGAAATTGATGTAGAATTATATGTAGAACTAAAATATCACAATTTCACATGGGTATGTTCAATAGATGTTATGTTATTTATGTAAAACATGATTTTTGGATATAATTAGTAAAATAACATTAAATCTATGCACCCTATCGAAATGATATTACGATATTCTAATAATAGTGGCAATCATTTATATCACTCTCAGTACTGCTCCCTATTCTGAACGGGCCTCATAGAAAACAATGTTATTTTGTCTTTTATATTATACATTGATAAAACAAACATTTGTATTTTCTTTCGGATCGTTAGCCGGCATATAACCTTGCCGTTGCCCCTCTCCCACCACGCGGAGGTGATCCTTTGGGAGAGTCCCTCTCAATATGAGAGGGGGTTTATTTGAACCAAAATTAGTTTAATCTATATTCTTATAATGAAAACACAATATATTTTATATGATTATATTATACGAGAAAAACACTTATAAGTTTATATATTATGAAATTATATCGTATAAGATGTTATACTTAAGTATTTAATGAGATTAAATATTTTGCAATTATATTGTGTGAAAGAATTCATGTTAATTATTAATTAAAAACAAATCCTTGTCGATTACAAATTCTTAAATAAAAAATTAACTATTTTCGTAATCGTATTTATCTGTTTCACTGTCACTTCCAACAATGTCTGCGAAAAAATCATTTAATCCTTGGGCTGGCGCTTGTATTGATAGTTCGTGTCGACCACAACCTAAGTACCATAATATTGTCATTACGTGAGCGCAACAGCCTGCAGTTCTCAGCCCATTTTTGCATCCACAACAGTATTCAACTATTGAATCAACTCCAGCTTCAGATAAATCAACTAAAATATATGCAAAGTATCGCACACTATTACTAAAACGAGAGTTAATTTTGGCCCGCAGTAGATACGGATCGGTGTCAGTGATTCCAGGTAGAGTCAATTGACCCAATTCATTGTCTTTTGATATTTGTATCTCGAAATTAGAATCATTGTTTAATTGTTGGGCATAATAAGATAATGCCTGTTTTCTTTGATATTTGCCAGATGCTATTGTATATAAGTCATCTTCTGAAAGTATTGGGAAATTAGGCATAATATCTTCAGACATTTTAATAAAACGGCCCGCCTTTCTATTGAGTCTATTATCATTAACAAATGTACTGATAAGATTAGGTTTTGTTAATCGAGATGTCAATCTATTTGCTATCATTTGATCAGCATTTTCATCTGATATAACAGGAGGGGCAAATGCGTTAATTAATGCGTAAGCATTTTGAAAATCACATAAGTCATGATTTAAACAACGATTCGATCCTTTTTCACGGAAGTACTTAAACTGTTGTTGTATTTTCCCGTTTATCACTTCTATGGCAAATCTTACTTTAGTGATTAATCGCGATTCGTTTGCTTGTATACATGATAATTGCTTCTCGTTTTTGTCAATAAAATGTGGCATTTTGGCAACAAAGCCTTTCTATTCAAGGAATGGTTTGGCATTTCTAAAGCCTCTATCTAATATAAAGATATCTGTAGTTTTAAATAAAGATCTTAAGTCGGGCGAATCATTATATGTTGATTCTAAAAGATCAGAATCGCTTTTATTAGCAGGAAACGGCCCTGAACATGAGATAATTCGTCCGTTTGTTGTGATTCCGATCAGTGGCTTATAAAGTGGTCGATGTTTATGAGCACTAAATGACAAACGTTGGAATGTATAATTAGTACTTTTTTGCAGATATCGATAAGTGCCGTCCCAAATGGTTATTGCTTTGTCGGTCAGATTGTTTGGCGAAAATAAATTGAGTGACATATTTGTGGTATTTTTAATTATATCAGACCTCGACCGCAAAATATGTTTCGAATAGAAGTCTTTATGCATTGCATTTCTTGCCATTTCCATATAATCATGAACTGTTGTTAACGGAACATTAAATGTTAGAGATAACCTTTCATTTGTTTCTCCAGTGTGTAGTTTAGACAAATACAATGCTAATGCTGTTGTTGGGCGCTTACAATGATTGATAGTTATTGAAGACATAATTGATTTAAACTCGATCTTTGAGTATCCGACCCATGACATGAAAAGTTTATTCTCCATCTCTTCATAATGCTCAAAATTAATACAATTTTTCTTCTCTGATAATTTGTTTTGAGTCTTAATAAGCTCTGATCGCAATATTTCCATCATATCTTCAATATAACCCGATTGAAAATCAGAAAAAGATCGTTGTATATATGATCCCCAATTTTGTTCTACGAGATGTTCTTCGCAGCACTTTGCTTGATTAGGAATATAGTATTTATGATTAATAAATACTTCTGATCTCACCATTTTTGGCACAAATTTTAACACTTGTGACATATTGCCTTCACATCCAAATGTACAACTCGTACTACTGACAGATTCTCTATTCAAATTCAATACCATAGAGGTTTGATCTAAATTGTCATTTGAATTGTGATTACTTATATTGTGTGAAACTTGTGTTGAGGTTTGCGTTTCTTTATAATATTTCTTTCGACACTTATCGCAGACAAAATTCCTTTCTGTAATAGTACCCTCGCTATCACTATGTCTATATTGAAAGTGCGAAAGACTATGACTATCGGTCAAATATTTAATTCGTATGATTTTATTTTTCCTTACTTTACATTCAATACATTTATTTATGTCAAAGGTATTTTGCTCTGAATCACTATCAGTTTCCATCCGTGGATCTGGTATAGGATTTTGAGATGTTGAAGAATCCGAAGATTCGTTGAGTGGTTGATCCATAGTATTGATTGGAACGGTAACTGCTGGAATCATACAGTCAGACCGCCTCACTTGCTGACAAGACCTCGCAGGGCGTGAGCACCCCGCTTGGCTGCTAGAATCGTTATTCAAATTTGCCGCCATCATGGCATTTGCACAACTTTACCGAGAACTTAGCCAGATATACACCTGTTTCTACCATGACGAACGAAGACGTGTTCTCGTTACGGCAAATATTTAGTTGTGCAATTAATATACATATCATTTTATTGCAAAAAACATTATTATCATCAGCGCCTATGGCTGCAGTATTATCATCTGCGCCTATGGCTGCAGGATTATCATCTGCGCCTATGGCTGCAGTATTATTATCTGCGCCTATGGCTGCAGTTTTATCTGCGTTTATGGCTGCAGTTTTATCTGCGCCTATGGCTGCAGTTTTATCTGCGCCTATGGCTGCAGTTTTTTCTGCGCCTATCGCTGCAGTTTTTTCTGCGCCTAAGGCTGCAGTTATATCTGCGCCTATGGCTGCAGTTTTATCTGCGCCTATGGCTGCAGTTTTATCTGCGCCTAAGGCTGCAGTTATATCTGCGCCTAAGGCTGCAGTTTTATCTGCGCCTATGGCTGCAGTTATATCTGCGCCTAAGGCTGCAGTTATATCTGCGCCTAAGGCTGCAGTTATATCTGCGCCTAAGGCTGCAGTTTTATCTGCGCCTAAGGCTGCAGTTATATCTGCGCCTAAGGCTGCAGTATTATTATCTGCGCCTATGGCTGCAGTGTTATCTGCGCCTATGGCTGCAGTGTTATCTGCGCCTATGGCTGCATGATTAAAGGTGTGTGTTGATTGGGTGGGGGCAGTGATGGTTGATTGGTAGGAGCCGTTTGTGTAGACGATGATGATGGTAGTGGTGATGATGGGGTGTCTTAGTATGAAAGGTTCGAATCTCGATACAGGTTGGATTTTTTAAAAATTTTTTAAAAGTGTTTTTCAGTTCAATCGAGTTTACCGGTTTTTAAATATGACTAATATTGATCACCTCGACGAGACCTTTCCATTGATATATCATATGACATGCTTTGAAGTAAAATAATACACTTTTACAACACCCGAAATATTGGTCACTTCGGGGCCCGATTTGGAGGTCATGTCCCACTCGGATCGGGTCGACGTAATTATAACTATTGTTAGGTATCATGAGATCTATCGATTGGCACCGAGAAAATCGTGGCACCTCCCACGTATACTTTGACCCGAGGATTCGATATTGATTCGATATTGTTGTTTGTGTTGTTGTCATAAAATGTCTTGAAATGTAGACAATATTGTACTCAATGCAAGGTTTTATTATTAATAATAATGCATTTAATAAAATGTAAATCTATATTTTTAGTGCAAAACAACAGGCGATAGTAAAATAATAATTTAATAACAATCAATTTCATATTAATATTTAATTATTAAACTGACATATTGTATGTTTAATATTGTGTAGTATTGCTCAAACAGTTTCTAGAATATGTATTACAAAATTATAAAAATGCAAACATGATAATTAATAAGTTATTAATAACAACAAAATTTTTATATCCATTAGAAGCACATTAAGACCATAATTAATAAATATATAATTATATTTATTTTACAATATTTAAATTGTTTTTATAATCTTAAATATTGTACTATATGGTAATTAATTATTTTAAATAATTATATTAATACATTATCATATAATATTAATATTATAATTTACAAAATAAAATTATTAACAAAATAAATATAAACAACTAATTCAAAATACTGTTTCTCATTATTTTATTGTATCACTATTATTAATAATGATTTTAAAAATAAATAAAACACCTAAATGGTTTATTCAGTCAAACAATATTATATTAAAATTCAATATAACAAATGTTCGTCATTTAAATACAAGTATATTTTGCTCGAAATACAGTAAGTTATATAATGTATACTAAATACATTTAATCATGTTTAGTCAAATTACCAAGATCCAAAATTTCTGATATGAAAGGCCCCACATCACCTGGATTAGCATGAGACCAATTAAGTTTAGTGATTACACCAAGGGTATTAATTTCCTTAATTGAGCTCATTATACGGAGAAATTTTAGCTTGGCCATTTCGGAACCAAATATACAGTATTTTAACAGTATATATCGTAGAAGTAAATACATATAAAGATTCTGCTCAAACCTGATGTAAACAAAAACAAATTAGGTTATTTATTTAATATAATTCTAAATTAATGCATTTAATAAACTAACTTGATAACATGTCGGTACTTAAGGTTCGGTCTGTTTGGGTCAAACAATACTATAGCTGTTAGCTAAAAGAATATGATTAATTCAAATGAAATATAAAGTTAATATTATATTAAGTAAATAATATTATTGTATAATATAACTAATTTAATTATTAATAACTAATTAAAATAAAATAATTTACCAGATCTACGATCAGACGATCTGAATCCCATTCCGGACACATAATGTCAAAGTATCTGATATAAGAGTCGCCAATCATTGGCTCGCATTTAGCTGTAAAATCCATTTTTAGTATAAATGAACTTTTGTTATCCTATAACCAAACAAAATCCATAAATGTAATTATATAATAATTAACTAAGATAAATGACAAATTAACTCATGCTCATTTACCGCACATATCGTCCAATATCTGTCCATATGATTATAGTACTGAACTGAACGCATCATTATATTCTCAACGCAGCCATACTTTATGAGAGCTATCATATCATCGCCGCACAGATTATTAAACGAGTTCAACTGTTTTGTCATTTTGGTAAAGTTTTGTATTAACTTATTGAATCTGTTAACCATGGTCATTTTGTACTGCATCGGGTCAGCCAACTCGCCGGTAATCGCCCCACCAGTGGGCTCACGGATCCAATTCATGGCTATCAAGAGTTCCCGGATTTTGTTGATTTCAAACTCGTTGAAACCGACGTTAAAATTGCTAATATGTCTGACTATAGAAACGATCGATAATTTGAATTTTTGCTGATTTTTTAAAAACAACTCTTTGTCTGCCAACTGATCTGCTAGTCTCGGATCAATTGAGTCATTGATTATGTGTTGATCGATGGCTTCGTGTGATATCATTGTATAATCATTAGGTGTGTCCTCAAAGTCTGGAGTCCAGACATCACTCATTTCATACTCGTATTGATTACTAATGTCTATAACGCGACTATTGTCTGGACTTTGATTAGGGATTATCTCATAGGAATGGCTATCAGAGACCGAGTAATCAGTTTTAATTACACTGTTATTATTATTACTCTCGTTATTAATGTTTTTGTTATTATTATTGCAAATAATATTTTCAATTGAAAGTCTTTTTCTGCGATTTTGTTCTACTTTTTTACGTTTCATTATTTTTTCATTCTCTGTGAGAATCCAATCCTTGGATAAAAACATTGAAAACGTGATTAATTTATTGTAAAAATGTTATGGACATGTATTTATTAATTACCTTTCTCATTTCAATGGCATAGCATTTATTTAAGCGACACTTTTGGCAAAACTTTCTGGTAAAGTGAGTGACATCGCAATCGCCGCCGTAAAAACATGATGACTACATTAAAAGCAAATTTAGTATAATAATTATACTTGATTAAATTAATTAATTAATCTATTATGGTGATACAATTACCTGATTTCTTGGTGCATTTCGTCGAAAAAACGCTTTACATGGAGCGCAAGTATATGCACCAAAATTTTTGCCTAGATCAAATATTATTATTTTTTAAATTAATATTTTTTAAATTAATATTTTTTAAATTAATATTTTTTAAATTAATATTTTTTAAATTAATATTATTTAAATTCAATGTAATGCATGTATGTATATTTACATTTAGTTACTGTACTGTTTATATTTATATTTGCTGTTTAATTATTTTCTAAGATGAATTACAATTAATTTTCATACTTATCGCTCGGTCTCCGCAAACGCCGCAAACAAATGCTGTTTTATTCATAATATTAATTTAAATTATAAGTTTACACAAAGTGCAAGTTGTTACTTTATCTTGGTGCTTTTTTCAATTAGCTTTAACATAAACAATATAAATAAAACATTAAATCAGTGGTATGGACAATAACTGGATACGATAATTTGTTGTAAACACCTTGTTATAATCTACATTAAATAAAAATACAATAATCATAATATTGATAGAGGAATCAAACACCTATGGCATATAATTATACATATAATTAATGTACAATGTAACACTGTACTAAACATATAAAGTCCTGTTGACGTACTATTGAAAAAACATGTTATAAATATCTTAATAATTTTACCTTAATAAAAAAGCGCATCTAAAAACTGCCTAGATGCGTTTGCGTAATGGCCTTACAGTTTATGTATGACAGTGAATGGCATTGAATATCTGTTTTCATATATTGTTCAGGTGATATCTAAATTTGCTTTATTTTATATTATACACAATCTTAATGTAACAATTTAATCTTTTATTCACCAAGTATTTTATTTTGTGTAGGTATTTATATACATTTTAAAATTCCATCAATATTTTACCAAGTACTTGTGTATAAGTGGGATAGGTGAAAGTGGGATTTAGACTAGAATTTGCATATAAGTAAATATTAACAACAATTTCTTTATACGTGTAGTATTCATAACAATATTTGTAAGTACTGTTATTACACAATATTAACGGTATTATTAAGTATTATTCTTGTATAATTAATATTTAATTAATCTTGCATGTTTATAATAGCAAATATTTGTAATTAGTACATTGTATCTATTAAGCAATAGTTTTATTGTATTATTTTATATTGTATTTCATACGATAAATAAATTATACGTTTACTAATTTATATTACAGAATATTCTATAATATATATTTGTATAGAAATATAAATGACTTTGTTGTTGTGCATAACAACATAATTAATTCAATCAATTAATAATATGAATGAATAATAAACAAAAAGAACTTAGTGATTCATAAATTTATTAACGTTTAGTTACTAATATTTATATTGTTATTCAAACAATCTATAATGTTCCACTGAGAAAACACCAATAACTTTTGACTGGGTAATTCAATTCTGGTGATGCCAATTAGAAAAATGATGCCTGATAATTCAGTAATCAATCCGTATATATTATGTTATTGTATCTATCCTAGCTTTTGAATTATGTGAGTTATAAGAAAAGAAATAATTTTCAGTGCTATAGATATTAATAACTAAACGTTAATAATTTTATGAATCACTAAGTTCTTTTTGTTTATTATTCATTCATATGTTTGTTGTTTTGTGTTGGCATCAAATGTCTTAAGATTCAGATAATATTGCACTCAATACAAGGTTTTATTAACAATTAATTTTATTATATGAAATGCAAATTTATTTATTGTAGACAATACTGTACTGTACAGTATCAGTGATCAGTGATGGGCATTATATCAGTATTTTAAGTAGGTGGATTTTAAGCACTTGCATATATTTATTGAAATAAAAAGCTTATTTTAATAACATTTGGAAAGTACTTTACTGATTTTTAAAAATAGTCACAATTTAAACAAGGGCATTAAATAGAGATAAAAGTAAATTGAAATAAAAAATCAAATCTACATAAATATACAGTTGTATAAATACCAAGTACTTATGAACCCGGTTTGAAAGACATTTAAACATGTTAATATTTGCCCGCCAACTAAATGCTGTCAAATGTTTTGAAATTCTACTTATAATGCAATTTTTCTTAATAAATTCATTAAATTATTAATTAATATAAAACAATTATTACAACAATGGCCTTCAAATTTACTATTATTACTTAACTTTATTAATAATATTGGCTATTTATACATACAATAGGCTAATTTATAATGAATTAAAATTTTTAACAATTATTGCAGTATTATTAACAATTAAGCATAAAATATTTATAATTAATAAAATAATAATTTATATAAAAACTATATTTCTATATTTAGTTTAAAAAGTAATCAATATTTAAAATATAAATACGAATTTTAAATACAATTAAAACTACATTTTATTCATGTAATAATAAATAATGTTAATGTTACAAATAAATATTTAAAACAATTATCAATTGGTTGTGATTTGTTTGGGAATGTCATAGATCTCGGTGAGTAGTGGACCCAATTGGTTGGGGTCTCTGTCAACGCTACTTTGTCTCTGTAAATGACCTAGCACGTGCACATCATTTAACACGTTCAGTATTTGTTTAAATTTCCATTCGCTATCCCACCGATACTTTAACTGCAAATATCGTCTCAATAAAAACAGGTATAATTTTTGTTGAAACCTAAATATAGGGTTTAATGAATTGGATTTAATTATAATGTTATTAATAGCTGAGAAAGAGAGAGAGAGAGAGAGAGAGAG